CCTCCTTACCACAAACCCCCCCACCCCACCCACGCACCCTGGTCACCCAACGGTACAAATGGGTCCGCCGCAGGTCGCGAATCGGAAGGTCGCGTGCGCTGGGGAACTCCGCGTGCTGCTTACATCGCAGGAGCATTGTGGGTGGTGACGATGGGCTTGTGAAGGGCCTTCATTCAGCGGGGTTTTGACCACGGCCGACGATGATGACAAGTGATGACGATGATGACGATGATGATCGCAACCAATGGGGATGAACTACGGTAAATGACAGAAGATAAATAAGGCTGCAAAGGTGGGGCCCCCAGGGTGAAATGTATAGAAAAATAAAAGTCAGAAAAGTGAAACGAAACTCAGAAAAATGGAACGTTGCATGGCGCGATTGGAACGCGAGCCGAAAAGTGCACACAGAGCACGGTGGAAGTCCACGCTTCGGATCTGCACTGGGAGACAGGAACAGGGGGGACACGTGGGGCACCGGAGATCCGTTCAGAAACGTAAAGCGGGCTTGGGCAAGACCCGTCACTGACAGGGGGACGATGGTCAGCGCTTGAGACGAACTTTGGAAAGGCGACCAAGGAAGAAGCACGCCCGAGAGGGCGGGCATCCAACGCCATGGCGGGGTGATGAAATTGGCGAGCGCATGCAGCGGCGACATCGTCCGTTGCATCGTAAGACCGAGGGAGATGGCGACGGCTTGGCAGCGACGATAAATGCAGCCCCACGTCATCATCGTCACGATCCATCTCACTCCTGAACGCAAGCCGATCGCATTTCTCCGATCTTATTTCTCCGATCTCATTGCTCCAATCTTATTGCTCCAGTCCTGGAATGCAATGATCCATCTCATTCCCACACACGGGCCGATCTCATTGTTCCATCTCCGCAATGGTCTTCCTTCAAGGTGAATCCGCTCCTTTATTATTATTCCTACTTCTGTATTAGTATTCGTGAATACATGTCGGAGTTTCGTTGATGATGATAATGGCCATGAGTAGATTTTTGTTTACAAAGACATGCTTTCCTGTCCAATGATTGTCTCTTATTGACTTTTATCAACTAAAGAAAATACTTTGTACAAAAGGAGATAAGAGTCCATTACTGTCACGAGTTCTCTTGCGGCAAGGGGATTTAGGATTTATTCACCAATTAGTTTTGCGGACAAAACACGAGTTTATCATCAATGCTAGCGAGATGCGAATCACACTCGGTGTTTTTTATTTATTTATCCAGCCGGTTCCGCTGGCTGCTTATTTATTTATTTAGTCACCTGTACATTTCGCGGTGCAAAAAAAAAACGGCGGCGAGTTCAACGCCGCCGGCAGAAAAAAAAAATCGATGAACAAAACTGTTGATGGAGCGAGCGGCAGTCAAGGGAGGCGGTCTTTGCGCTAAAAACAAGACAACCTCGGGGAGCGGATGCGGAGACGAGACGCGATGGGACGGGCCGTGCTTTAGTCATCAAGGGCCCTGTCTGACGATAGTGATGGTGACAAACGCGGTTACGTTGGCGGCGCGACTGCTAAAAATACATCTACCTTTGGCCTTACATTCTTGGACGAACGCAACAATGGCCTGCTGTTTAAGGATTGGCTCTCAATAGATTACAACGTCTGCGTATCTGTCAAGGAGTGTAAACCATCATCACGCGAACTCCAGTGTCGTCCTCGTAAGCAGCAGCAGCTTTTGGCTCGCCGTCGAACAAAGGTGGCTGTCACCGCATTGCACGGCGCTTTCAGATGCGCTGCTTCTGCGGCCGTCTGGAACGATCTTCCTTCCGATATTAGAATGCCACTGGAGCTACGTCGTGCAGAGATAGGCTACTGGACACAGTCTAAGTGCAAACTGCTTTACAAACATCGTGGGGAAAACTAAACTAAAACTTTGTTATTTTACCAGGTAAGGCCCACTGAGCTGTACAGCTCTTTTTCAGAAGCGATTTGGCCACAAATGATAGTTCAACTAAGTGGCTTATCACGTGCAATTTTTTTTTCATAGCAGCCAAACACTGATTGTGGAAGGAAAAACCGGAAGAATCCAGAGACAAATTTACACGACCATAGAAAAGAGACATGCAAACTCGAAATATACAGCAGACGTTTGGGCTGGGATCGAACCCACGATCTCCTGCATACCAGGCGAGGTAGTTAACATCTCGCCACCGTGGCGCCCCAATGCTTCGCCGTGCTTCAGAAGTGGCCGAATGCTATGCAGGAGATTCAAGAGAGGCGTGACCGCGTCGGGAAATGGCCGGGGTGGTGAACAAGAGTGCAGACGCGGCTAATCAGACGGGACGGAGAACGTGACGGTCGTTTACGCGACGCTGCGCCATGCGTTCAAATATTGCAGTGCGAGCGGGCAAGCGAGCGATAGAGCGAGCGCGAAAGCACGACTGAAAACCGGCGCCGATGCGTTTAAGGGAATGTGTATTTTCGGAAATAATCAGAGTAAGGTCATTTTGGCCCGAATTCTAATTCACGTAAAGTGAGGCGCGTGCTCTCATGAAGGTTATTAATGTCTTAAGGCAAGCGGCGGCTGCTATGTCCAGGAAATTATCTGCGAATTTGATTTATTACGACACATCACGCTTAGACAAATAATAACGCCCCGGCGCGGTATGGAAATGAACTGTCGGCAGCCATCCAAGTGAGCCCGAAAATGTGAAATTATTCCTGAGATTCTCATTACAAACTAAAATAATATAAATAGCATTTAGATTGCAATCGGCGGGAGAACGTCACGCGTCGCGTTTTTTGTTGTTTTCCTTTCCCCCCCCGAACAAGCCGCTCACGGCTGTCTCTTCCACGGCCGCAGCCAAAGCCGCTCCGTGCTCGGAACTGCCGCATTCTATCTCAGCGATATCACCACGCGTATCACGACTGCCTTGTTCTATCTCCGCAATTTCGCCGTACGACTCCTAAATTCTTTTTTTGCTGTTGCTTCCATCTCCCGGTAATGTCAGAATCAGAATCGGAATATTACACTGGAAGAATCCGATGAGGCCGGAAGAGGTGCTGATAGGCTAGACAAGTTGTCTTCACTCATTTTCAGAGGGTGGGGACCCGCTTTCGCCGATAAGACATCATCAGTGTGAGAGCCGCCTCACATTTGAAATCGTTGTTGGGTGGATAATAGGGGCTGTTTTAACTGTTGTGCACTGTCGGGGCCACACGTCAGGGGCCGCACTAAAGGCCACCAGCGGCTGCCAGTGGCCCGCGGGCCTTGCAATGAAGAACGCGATATCGCCGTAAGTCTCCGACATACGCCGGAGACGTACGTCAGAATCGGAATCAGAATATTTACCTATATCGGAGGAATCCGATGAGCTACAAATCTCTTTTTTTTCACACAGATGTCCACTAGGACGTCGACGGCAGGCCTCGAACGTATGGGGCTGATGCAGGAGCGCGTTTACCCCGGCCTTTGCTTCCATTTAATCTTTGGCAGAACGGCCAAAACCTCCATCGCCATTACCACGGTGGTTAATGTCCCCATGACTTTGCTCATTGATTCCTCCGCCCATGGTGAGGACTCGCTCTCGATCAGACCGACTGTTTTGCTTCACCCGTACTGTGTTGAACAAACCCCACACTTGCAGGTCACAACAAGGCACTCACTCACCCCACCCACATCTGACTCACTGTTACACCCACTCATTCATTCATTCACCCACCCACCCACTCACCACACTGCAGGTCACATCACTTCCCTTTCGGCTTCTTCCCTCGCACTCCTCCTCTCTTACAACCTCACTCAGTTCAGGAAACCAATGAACGCTCATATTTTACACATTCAACGGTGGTGTTCATTGCTGGCCGCTTGGCACATCGGGACTCCAGACCCCGTGCGGTCAGACATTTCACGGCAAGCCTCCCGATATTAATTGCCTAACCATCTCCGGGGTATTTCGTACACACGCCGTCGGCAAACTTCTCTCCGCTGAGAGCCGGCGCGGGCACACGGCAGCGCTTCGAGCCCCGGTCGCAGCGTAATCCCTGGCAAGATCAACGCGTGGCTCCGTGTGATCTCGGAGCCCTCGAGCGACGGCGTCGCGGCCGTGGCATAAATCCCCGGCAACAATCGATGCTTCTTAACGAACTGTACCGCGCGGTTTTTACGGCGCAGACGAAACGTCCCCGACGCACTCAGCTTGCCCCACCGCGCCACCTACCCCCCCCCCCCCCCCATCGTGCCACCTCCTCTACTCACATCTCCCCCCACTGCACCACCCTCCTCCACCCACGGCGCCACCACGGTTTCGAAACTCCGGGTTTCATAAGCAGAGTCAGACTTGTTAAGCAAACGCTCCTGAGTTGCCAAATGCTACTGGCAAGAGCACACAGTATGCCACCCTGTGCAATGCAAAAAGCAATACTAGATGAAACTTTATGATGCAACTGCTGTGAAACATCACGTCTCATGACCTATATAAAGATTTATATTTCGGAACAGACCTCCGCTCTTCGTCTGCATCGACAAATATAGCATTCTGAGTCACTGGCCTTCTGGATTTCGGTTCCATTACTCGACCCAGTGGATTAATGATAGCAAAACGTGGCGTAATAAAAGCCTCGCCCGTTACCCACGTGTGTGCCGCTGAACGGGAGGTGAAGGACAGGACTTGGTGAAGTCACAGCCATCTTCATTGGCCGTGCCATGCTGGGCGTGGCCTGTACGGGGTTGCCCGCCTTCGGGAGGTAGGAAGTCCGGGCGGATTTTTTTGTTGTTTAAAGGGGGCCTGTTAATCGACGATTTAAAAAAAAAGGAGTCGATCGTATGTACGTATGTATGAATCTACGTACATATGTTGAGCTTCTTTCGCACCGTACGTAGCCAACTGGGCTAATCGGAGGTGAGGCAGCCCATTAAACGTCAATGCGCTTTAATCCCTCCACCTCCTCCGTGGGACGTCCCCGCAGCTCTAAGCTCCCCCTCCGCCCTCTCCCACACAGTCCCCCCCCGCCCCTCCCCCCCGGCCCCCCTGCCACGGGAGGCCGTCTCACCTGATGCAGGGCCGTTAATCCATCCTCGTTACACAGGTCGGGGCTGACTCCGCTCCGCAGCAAAGAACGCACTGCACACGCGCACACACACAGGGGGGTCTTACGCTTAGCCACCGCGCACGCGAACAGACTGTTGAAGCGAGTGCCGCTCATAATAATGATCATTATCATTCTAAGCACCAAACTAAGACTTCTATTTGTATTTCACCAGGTAGGGCCCGCTTTTTCAGAAGCGGACTGGCCACAAATGATAGCTCAACGAAGTGGCTTATCGTGTGGAAATTTATAGCTGACAAAAAAACTCTAAACGCACGACGTTGAGTCTAAATGTGGAGGGAAAAACCGGAGGACCCAGAGGAAAATCAACTCGACCACGGGGAGAAAGTGACATGCAAACTCCAAATATACAGCAGCGGGCGTCAGGGTTGAGATTGAACCCACAACCTCCTGTACACCAGGCGAGGTAGTTATCATCTTTCCAGTTATAACTTCTGTCTGTCTGTCCGTCCATGTGTCTGTAACATAATTCTCCTGAAGTTGATCCAATATGACAGATACTCGAGTGCAGAGTTGAATTGCTATTGAGGACTAACGTGGACTAACAATTTGTTAACCGGTTGCCCATAACATGGAGACAAACCGGAGCAAAAAAAACAAAAAGACTACATTTTAAAAAGGCTAAATCACATTTGTCCCCACACCTCCAATTATCAGGCTTGGGCTACGTACGGCGCGAAAGAAGTTCTAGATAGATACATACACACATATTCTTAGGTGTTTTCAGTAAAATCACGGTTCCACCTGAAGACGGAAGCTTGTGTTGCCTTCGAAACGTCGTGATTTTTATTTTATTTTTATTTTTTACCTACGTGACTTTACCGAAAAAACCTAAGAATATGAATCCTTGCAGTGAAGAAAGCCTCAAATCTAGAATACATACACACGTCCCGACAGGTATCCACCAGCTCCCTCACTGCTCATGAAAGACTCCCAAAGCGAAGAAGGTGGCTTAAGGGCTTCGCGTCACTCCACGCGTACGCCCGTGGCTTCTCTAACTTGTTTAGTAAAATACGCTAACTTAGAGCGCTTCGTCAATCGCACACCACCCAAGGCGGATTTTTACTTTCGGCGAGGTAATTTAATAAATTCATTGCAGCAGCAGGGCATTCATACCGTAACGCCGTCTTGATGAGGCCGGAGTTGGTAGTTAGCACACGAGCCGTAACAGCCAGCACAGAATATCACGTTCAGATGTTCCACTCTATCCGCAGTTACGGGCTGGCTGCCTGCCTCCTAGCGTCAAATGAGGCGTTAAATAGGCCGCATGTAAACCATGCCGTGCGGCGTGCCGGTCTCCCACCAATCCCCCCCCCCCCAACCACCCCCCCCCCCCACCACCACCCCGTTGTAACTTCACCGACAACAGTGACGGATTTTTTTTTTCCATTCAGACGCTGTCTTTCCGACAGACCTGTTCTTCACCTGAGGACGGCTGCTTGCGTTGTGGCCGAAACGTCGTGAGAATTATTTGATTATGTTTTATTATTTTTTTATTTCCCTTCTACGTGACTTTACCGAAAGAACCAAGAAGAAGAACAGTGACGGAGCGCTGAAAAATGTAAAGAACACTCCGATTTCTCCTGGCAAGTCCAATCGTGGCACAGGTGGTTTCTCCCACCGCCCCAGGTTATTTGACGCGCCGAGCCAGAACCAAAGCGGGGGAATCTGCTCGCGAGACATCTGAATCTGGCACGGGGCCAAGCAGGGCCAGGGGGTGGTGGGGGGGCGGCGACGTCAAGTCAGGAGGCTGTGAAGACACACACAGCGTCGGCGGCGACGCGTCGCGACTCGTTCCACTGCGCGCGTCGTCAGCAACGGCACGGCTCGAATTTTTCAGTGGGGAAAAACAACTTGGGGGCCGGAGGGGGGGGGGAGCTCGTGAGGCCACGGAAGAAGAAGAAGACCTCGCACCAGATGGGAAGACACAGTTCAGCCCAGCGGACAGAGACTCGGCACAGCGGGATTTATAACAATAATAACAGCAGCGGAGAAAGCGGAAAAGGGTGAACTCAAGTCTACGGCTCGGGCAGAAACGCGTAACTCTGCCAGGTGATGAATTTCACACGTACACCTGAATTTATTATTTATGTGCGATGTTATTTATGTGCGGGCGGCAGGGGAACGGAGACGCAGTGCTTTCGCACCATCAATCGGGCCCGGCTGAGAGTTGAATTCCCGGCCATGGTCAATCCGAATTGGTCCCGGCTCCCTCACTACCCCAAAACAATGCTCAATGACCAGCACGGTGAAGTACGGTCAAACGACCCCCCACAATCATTCACAGCGTGGGCGAGCATTGCATTGACAGAGGGTTGTGAATTATTCAGTTTTATTACGAATGTATAGACCTTGTGTATGCGGTGGAAGCTGACGGTGGTTTCACGACGGAAGTGATACAGTGAGGTGCGTGACCACTTCACCGCCTCTAGCACCATGTGGCACGCATGTGGCACGCATGTGGCACGCGTGTGGCACGCATGTGGCACGCGTCATAGGTGAAGGCACAGCCCTGCAATTTCTTGCACACACGTCACCGCTGGTGCAAGCGAAGCCCTAAGAGAGGTCACCTCGGGGAGGTTATTTGGCCTACTCTTCCACGCTTGGCGGACATCTCAAAAGAGGTGGAAGTTACCCCGATCGACTAAATGTGGTTCATCCTATTATACCGCTGCCTGATGCTGGGTGGACAGAGGAAGTAGCCTGGTGGGTGGTGGGGGGCGGGAGGAGAGATTTAAAATAAACGTGGCCCCGTTTGCCGTGGTGGAAAAATGTTAACGACATCGCCTGGTATACAAGATGTCGTGGATACGATCCCAACCCTGATGCTTGTTGTAAATTTGGAATTTGTGTGTCTCTCTCCCCGTGGTCGCGTGGATTTTTCTCTGTGCCCTCCAGTTTTCCCCCTCCACATTTAAAATAAACTTCACGTGTTTTAAGAGTATTTGGCTGCTATAAATTTCCACGTGACAAGCCACTTCGTTGAACTGTCATTTGTGACAGCCAGGTCACGTCTGAAAAAGAGCTAGACAGCTCAGCAGGGCCTTACCTGGTAAAATACAAATAGTTTGCAGTTTGCAAGTGAAGTGCCGGGAGATCGACAATCGAACCGGTCATCTCTGGAACATGAGGTCAAGCGTGCCGACCTCGACGCGACGTGGCAGGTCGCGCGTAGGCGCGTGGGGAGGGGGGGAATAATCCGGGCAGCGTCACATGACTGAGAATCCATACCTGGCGGGTGTCGCGCCGAGATGTGATCGCGCGGGAAAACATTTTCCAGGCCTCATTGGGTTTTCTTAAATTATTAACAAGTCGCCGTGAGTAACGTCCTGCTGCGCTAAATGACCTTTGCATGAAAAACACTGCCTTTGCGGTAAAACACTGCTTTCCCTGGAGCCCAAGTGAAGACTTTGCCCTCAACAACCACAACATTCTCATATCTCACGAGCGACCTGGGGCATTGAGACTGCCAGTAGGGGGCGATGATTTCCAACTGAGTAACCTGCGGCAGTGTAACTTTAGAATTTGACAACTTTGGACCCTGGCAATGGCACAAGATGGGCTTGCCCTCACGAATGAGCTCAGGGGGCATTTGACGTCCGCTGCGAAGCAGTCGGTGCCGGAGTATTGTTTATCACGGCTATTACACACCGCAGTCATAATCCTGGGGCCCCGCTGTGGTGAGATGTTAACTTCCTCGCCTGGTATGCAGGAGATCGTGGGTTCGATCCAGACCTTGATGCCTGTTGTATATTTGGAGTTTGCGTGTCTCTCTCTCTCTCATCATCATCACGGTGGCTAGGAGATGTTAACTTTCTCGCCTGGTATGCAGGAGATTGTGGGTTCGATCCAGACCCTGATGCCTGTTGTATATTTGGAGTTTGCGTGTCTCTCTCTCTCCCCGTGGTCGCGTGGATTTTTCTCTGGGGCCTCCGGTTTTTCACTTCCACATTTAGAATGAACATCGCACGTTTTAAGTATTTTGCTGCAATAAATTTCCACGCGATAAGCCGCTCTGTTGAGCTATACAGCTCAGTGGGCCTTACCTGGTAAAATAAAAATTAATTAGTTATATATCATGACGGCTGGTGTAATCTGCCCCCAGTTCCATTACGAGATAACAGAGACTTCTCCTTACAGATTTGCCGTACTGCATGGCGAGACTTGCTGTACTACGAGAGAGAAAATAAAAATCTGGGAGTTCCAGTACATGAGGCACATCCATCCAATAAAAAAAACGAGAATCTACAAACGCAACTGGAACCCTTTCTGTAAGCCAATTAATTACGCATAAATCACTCACGGATTAATTAATGATGCGTGCATTTATAGCCCATTGCATCTCTCGTGTTCTAGGTGTATGGACGGCTCCCCTGAGAGAAGTGGGGCGTACATCGCCGTTTTAATGTTATTTATTCTAGCGCGTATGGCACAGACTCCCGCAGATCACCGGCCCTTCTTTAAAAATCCACTGCTGGATGAGGGCTTTTCCGACACCGCGTGCGTTGCCCGGGGTTACATTGGCCCAGCGACGGAGGGCAGCACGGACGTGGGAACACAGAGACCATCGCAAGCTTCATAGAAAACTCAACGCAATCGTCGATAGCACAGTCTTCAAAGGAAAAGCAAGATATGGATGAAGAGGGGTCATCTCTCGAAACGTCGCCCGAAAAATGTTTGTTTCTTTGAAGGCTACACGCACACACAGTGCTATTGACGAGCGTGTAGTGTTGTTGTTTGTGCACCACTGCTAATGCATCATCATCATCATCAGCATCACCAAATAATTGTGCCCAACCGTTTACAGAACCACCATCCACTGTCAACCCAAATAAACAAATACATTGCATGAAGAGAATACCTGCCACAGTCATACAGGCCACAGGTTAGGAAGCACCGACACTAACTAACGGTGAAGTTTCCTAAAAATGTTTTTTTTTATTCTCGCCCTCTGCACGTCACGCTTCGTAATAAAGATAATTAAGGAAAACAAAGGAGTGGGAGTCAAAGCAGC